GTGCCAGGCATAGGACAACTATCATTTTAGTCTTGCTTAAATTATGGAACTAAAAAAACAGCACTATTAACAATATCTAATTGTTTAGTGCATCTAAATAATGTATGAATAATTATGTAAGATGCAAAAATAATCAAGTTTCTACATTTTGGGCATAATGCAATTTTCAAGGAATTGGTTTGTAACTTAAAAAAATTATCTAAGACTGCATCAGATGCATTTTTTTTATTTCTAAATACTTTAGCCGCTAATATTACAGTTCTACAATGAGAACCTTTGTTGAATGGTCCGCTGAGCTAATTGGTACAAGAGCCTCGGGGCAAAAACGCATTTTACAAACTGAGGCCATGCATGTATATCGCTCAGGGGGCTAACATGGAGTTGATACAAATTAAGATTTAATCACAATAAATAGGTTTGCAAACAATGAATTTAATTTTTTGACTGTGATTGCATGATTAAAAAAAATCTGAAATCAAAGGAACCGACTTTAACCTGAAAAATAAAGAGAGTATAGCCTAAGAAGACGGTTTGTTTTTGCAGGACGGGCCATTGTTGGTACACAGTGCCTAATAATGCAGCTTAATAGGCTGTGACATGGCAAGACTAATACTGTAAATAGACCAATAATGTGTCTGCATTGTTTTATTGTGATAATGTAGTGATGCTTCCATGAAGCAGGAGAGAGTAATGACCCGCACCTGCATTTGTTGGCACAGGGGGATGCGCGCACAGACGCGCGCACACGCTGAAAGTACCAAGCCCAGTAAAGGAAACCCCTTAAAATATTTATAATAATAATGAAAAAAATATCAATTAGAATAATGTTTTTTTTTCCTAATATGCATAAGAAGGGAGCTAAATCTTCGACCCAGATGAACAGTGAAAAGACGTGCAGCATTAAGTAAGGATTAAAACTGGAGATCGCAGAGCGGTTGCACACCATATTGGAGCCTACATCTGCCTTTAAATCCACAACAAATTAATATAAGAGCTGCTATGTTGTTATAGAACCAACTGGAGGCTGTTTGACTAATAAACTCCGATTTATCCTATAATAAAGAAATGAACCAAACAGTCTGGATTGAGATCTTTATACTTATTGTTCAAAATGAATAAAAGAGAAATATTTACAGAAGTAATTCCAAGCTCAAAATAAAATCGGTACTGTGTTGTAATGCGTCTCGATTGAGAGCGTTTTGACAAAAGGAGGTGAAGCGTTTTAATATGGAAATCACTGGCCCGGGGCATGCGTCATCTATTGACAGATTTGATGTTAAATGTCTCAAGCTCACTTAGTCTTGTAGCTCTTAATTTATTATGTTTTTGGGGCTCTCCCTCTCTCTCTCTTTCCACTCTCCTGTTCTGACCCGCGGAGGTCACACACGCAATTCTTTTTTAAACGCATGATTAATTTCTCAGTAGGGCGAGCGACTAATGCATTATGAAAAAAAGTGAAATGTATTCCAACAGGGCTAATAGCGCTATTGTATTCCAATAGGTTTCCCCCCCTGCTTTACGCGGTTTAGTGTCATGTCAGACATCTTTATTCTGGGACATAAACGTTTTTTTAAAGCATCACCATAAGTCTCCTCTATAGTTTTATTTTTTATTTTATTTTTCGTTTTTTAAAGAAAAAAATACGTTTATCAAAGAAATAACAAATTCTTTGGAATTAATCACTTTATCTATACTTTTTTTCTTGTTTCGATTCTTAAATGTACAGTAAAAAAAAAAAAATCCTTGGTTTCATTCTAGGTTTATTGTGCGCCACCATCTCCTCCGCCCTGTCCCACCTTGGGTTCCTCCCGTGGCGTCTGTTCGCGAGACAAAAGGGCGCGCGCTGACAACCTAAATTGCTTTGAAAACGAGCAGATGGGGTCTCGTGCTCCCCTCGGTGTGTCGCTTATGCGTCAAGGGGCATGCGCGCACAGACTGAGACTCAAAGCGACACTGCGATGTTAATCAAGATGCTCTTGTGTTAAAATGAAAATATTTCTGGTGAGAAAAGCAGCTGACCTGACTTGAGCGCTAAGCTGGAGAGTTATGTTTTAAGTCCACCAACAATAAGAAATTATATATATATATATATATATATATATATATATATATATATATATATATATATATATATATATATATATATATATATATATATGCGCGTGTGTTTGTATTTACTATCCACTTTTGTGAAAAGGTCTGCATTTACACACCATGCAGTAAGCCTACTATAAAACACATTTTAATCCCCAGCCTTGAAAGTTAGATTGAAGAAGGATAGTTAATTCCTGCACTTTTTATGTCCATGATTACTAGTTTCATTTAGAAAGAAATTATGATAAAAAAAAATTTAACATATATTTTCTTACTTTGATATTTCTTTAAGCGATGCAACTCTAACAACTCACAGTGTCTGAGATTTCTCCAAGAAGTTTTTTTTTTTTTTTTTTTAACAGTGTTGTAAAAAAAGAAGGAAGGACAGAATAAGGAAAGAAGAAAGGAAAGAAGGAAGTAAGGAAAGAAAGAAAGAAGGAAAGAAAGAGAGAAAATGTTTAAGAAACTAATTTGTGCCAGCCTTTACCAAACCTTTTAGGCAAATTTAATTACTGTAAGTAGTTTAGAATGAGCATCATTTTGTTTAAAAGTTTGGTAAAGCTCTAAAACTTCTTGAGTTTGTAAAGATCCTAATCTTTGGTAGCTTATTTAGGTGCAATTTATAGCACTGTACATCCCTTCTGATCTTCTCTTACCTTCAATTACAACAGATAGCCCATTGGCTACAGTGTACTTCCTGCTGCCTTGGATCCCTTGGGACCAACCTGCACATATAGGGAGAGTCAAGTTTCCAAAAGCCCTCTCACTGTTGAATGTGGGTATCAGCTGTTCTGACAGACATTACTCTGATCCCCCAGACTGTACCTGTCTGTCTGCTGCTGCAGCTTTTATTTCCCCCTCTCTTCTGCTTCTGCTCCTGTGGTTCAGACATTGTTTTAGTTCAACATGACTCTGTGTTTAAAAGCCACATTTCTTCATGCCATTCTCTGCCTCTGACTGTGTCTGGTGCCAGCAGTCTGTTATAACATCAGTTTAATGGTAATTAATTTGTAACTCCAGCAGAGACGGATTGAGGCTGCTTAGGACCCTGAGCAGAATTTGTATGGGGGCCTTGCATTTAAAATGAGCCTCCACAACTCAGTATTCACACGGTTGAAGGTTTCAATGCTGTTGTACCAAAGCCTGATCAGCTAGACTGACTTAAACAGGACATAAGTCAGACTTAGTCCCAGACTCGCTGGTCTAAAACAGACAGGTCCAATCACAGCATGAGGCCGGAGTTTACACACAGAATTATCCATAATGCAACAGTGTTTTATCATTAAACTTTGCAGCAACAACACAGCAATGTTATAATGATGCTTATTATTATGTCCTGAATGAGCTGGATATATTTCATCAACTGGTTGCTGCAGGAGCTTTAATTAATTTACATTTTTTTGTATCACATCTATATTTACTTGATTGGTTCTGACCTGTTTCCACTGACACTTTTAGTCTCTCCTTGGTCCCAGCATTGAAAGGCATTACCACCTCCTTTCCACACCTCTGGTCAGGCTATATGCAACCATAAAATATATTAATATTGTGGATCTTCCAGCAGTGAAAATACACAGCAGTATTTTTGTTATCAGTGTACTTTGAAAGAAATACATATCATCGGATGTAATCTTTAAAGTTTCAAAGTACTGGCGTTTCCAAACTTTATTTAGATGTAAGATATTTGGATGTAATGAATCTAATTTTTGTTTCTCAGACCTGACAGTTATTTATCAAAAAATCCCTTCAGGAGGGCCAAAAAAAGAAAGAAACAAAGGGAAAAAAAACAGTAACAACACAGAGTTACAGGGAGTCGTATCTGTGATTGTTAACAGTAGTGAAAAGAAAAAGATAAAAACAGTTAGTGGCCATAAGAAATTTTGAGTACAAATGTTTAAGTTGTATTTGCTGTCAGCGTGCTCCAGACATAAAGACATTAGAGCTTTTCTCTACAAGGAAAAAGAATGAAAGAATGCAAAATAGATTATTTGCTTTCCTTTTGCCAAGAAAAACCAAATATTTGAGGCCAACTCATGTTTCTGACCTCAGCATCTTTCTAAGCAGTGTGATTTCAGTGGATTTTGGGGTGTGTATCGCTTTGCAAGATTTGCATAGTTTTACTCAACTGACCTAAAGTTATAAATGTTACTTAAATTTTACTAGACTTAAGGCAAATGAAAAGAATAGCCTAGTTTAAGGTTGGAGAGGATTGCAAGAGGGAATCAGAGTTGGTATTATGGGCTGTTGCAAATATTTGTATTTGCATTATCCAGTTTGTCAATATTTGTATTAGATTTATTTTTGCAACATTCTTTTGCATAAAGTGTAGCTTATAAACCTCAAGGGTTATATGTTTATTTTAGCACAATAAGAAAATATGTATCACAAAAAAAAAAAAAAAATTAAAAATGGGTTTTGTGCCAATCTTATTGCTTTTGGGGGCTCTCTGGCAGCTTAAGCAGCTGCTTCGGTTACTTCTGCCTGAAGCTATCCTTAAATCGGAGCTCTCATCCTCTCTGTCCCTCCTATGAAATTTCCATTCCATGTTGGTTTAATAACGCAAGTGGATGAACCTGTGCTGAAGTCTAAGTTTGATTGGATGGATACTGTCAAGTGTTTATTTTTATACTTTTTATTTTTGCTTAAATCTTTGCTACACGTCCTTTTGCAGCATCCAATCGGTGTTTGAAAAGACTTCATTAAAGCTGTTTAGTAGGACAGAGCAGCAAAGCAAGGAAAGTGAATAACCTTCTCTGAACGGAGGGCTGATCTGACGCTGCACGCCAATCAAACTCAGAGAGAGAGAGCGAGAGGGGGAGAGAGAGGAGCAGGAGGAGGAGCGCGAGATTAGTGCGGCGCGTGGCTCTGTAAGCTAGGATAAAGCCTGCACGAGCGCCGTAGTTTACTCACATCTCACCAGCGGCTTCAGTTCGCAGTAAAAGAAAAAGTCACCGCCACCAGCAGCGCGAGCTTCCCGGAAATATTAAAGAGAGAGAAAAATGATTTTTTTATGCTGTGTGGGATGAATTATTTCGGTTTGTGACTTTTGGTGCGACCGGAAAAAGTAAAGAAAGTTACAGGTAAGAACCGTTTTATCGCTCCTTTCAAATCTTTCTCTATATCATTCTTTAGTTTATATATATGAATGAAAATGATCTTAACCACTTTGCAATAATATTTACTTTTATTATTATTTGTATGTTTTTATTCTCAATATAAACAGAATAATTAGGATATCATTCTTCCATAATGATTAATATTACATTATGTTTTTTTTAAGCGCTTCTTAATTTGTTTAAATCCTCTGCTATAAAAACAGTTAAAATATCATAATAGAACATGTCCAAACATTGTCCTAGAAAATGCGCCTTTCTGTTTTATTTTTCGGCTTTCGCTAGAGGCCGTTTCTCATTCAGTGATCCCCTAAATTACAAAATAGAATATACATTAAAAAAATCTTCTTTTTTTTCTATCTATTCACGTTTCTGTTTTTTTATTGCGCGTCTTTCTGGTTAACAGCTTAAAAGTTTCTTCCTGCGAAGCCAACATTTTTCCACGGGCCTCATTATACATGGAAGGCAACAATATTTATAAAGTGTTTTTGTTTGTAATTAAACAATCGGAGTATAGGATAAAATTATTTTTTGCCGACCAGCTGTTAAATATAGAGTTTAGATAAAGGTTCACGGTTAATAAAACTAAGTAATATGTTTAATTCAGTCTAAACGACACTTCAGATAATAATAAAGCTACAACAGCTAAGTTAAAATACACTGTTGTTTAAAATAAAATAAAAAAATAAGATAAAGGAAGGTCGCATGTATGAAACCGGTCTCCTTTAAGCACCGTTATATTAAAGATGAAAGATGATGGAGTGAAATTTTTGCTTTTAATGCAGTTTAATTATGCATTTTAAAGATTTTAAAACAGCAATCCAAAAAAAAAAAAAAAACAGAAACGATGCTGAATTGTATAGCAAACACTACAAAGCAATACAACTGACTATATCAATTAATTATGAATTTATTCTAAACAAAAATGAGTTTATGCTGCCTCTAATTGTACTGCTTTGTGGTGCTCTATCCAACACTTTAGGACTCACTTTATACGACTTTTGTCTGTCAAAAAACAAAAAGAAAAAAAAGATCTTTCCACAAACTGCATTTAAATTAAAGGTTTGTTTTACAGAGGAGATTTATAAATTATATTTAATGTTCATTTGTTTAGTTAGTTTGATTTATTTAGTTGTAATATTTCTCCCTCTGAAGATTTTCAGGAAGATGTGCTTTTCTTATTCCCCAGTTAAATTTTTCACAATTACCTGATTAAAAAAAAATAAAAAATAAAAAAAGACTACAGTGGAAGAACTTCATAAATCTGTAAAAAAAATAAAAAATAAATAAATAAATAATAATAATTAAAAGAATTAAAATTTTGAAGATGGAGGCTTAAATTTTTATTTCACCTTTCTTGTTGAATTCAAAGGAAATGTATTAATTCAAATGAAATTACCAAAAAGAAATGTAAAAAATAGAATTGTTTTAATATTACAAATTGATTTGTTTTATTATTTCCTAAGAAATGCTGAAACAGCAAACCAAAACCATTTAGAGGATAAAGTAATACATTACTTCTTTATCGCTCTTCTTTTCCTATATAAAATATATATATCTATACCTGTGTTTTGCAACAGTTAGGCAGTATGTGTAAATTACTTTTTTAAAAGAAAGATGATCTCCAAATTTCTCTGTTTTCCAACAGGTTCATCTGCAAACTTTTTTTTTTCCAAGCATGGACAAGGCTCATCTTTCAAGCCCCAGTGAAATAATAATGACAAACTCAACAGGCTCTTATCAACAGGAGCCTCTCACTCCACCCAGGCCTGCTCATCTTCACTCCTCATCCTCCTCATTATCCTCCCCCTCTCCTTCCTCCTCCTCCCCCCTCAAACCCAACCAGGTGGGTCAGGTTATCTTGTATGGCGTTCCTATTGTGTCACTTGTCATTGACAACAATGAGAGACTTTGCCTGGCACAGATTTCCAACACTCTCCTGAAGAACTACAGTTACAATGAGATTCATAACCGGCGAGTGGCACTGGGGATAACCTGTGTCCAGTGTACTCCAGTTCAGCTGGAGATCCTCCGCAGGGCCGGAGCCATGCCCATCTCATCACGACGGTGCGGCATGATCACCAAGCGTGAAGCCGAGCGCTTGTGCAAGTCCTTTCTGGGAGAGAACTCGCCACCGAAACTACCCGACAATTTTGCCTTCGATGTGACGCACGAGTGTGCCTGGGGTTGCCGGGGTAACTTCATACCAGCACGCTACAACAGCTCCAGAGCCAAATGCATCAAGTGCTCCTTTTGCAACATGTACTTTTCTCCAAATAAATTTATTTTCCACTCTCACCGCACACCAGATGCCAAGTACACCCAGCCCGATGCTGCCAACTTCAACTCCTGGCGAAGACACCTCAAACTAACAGACAAACACCCGGCGGATGAGTTGGTTTATGCATGGGAAGACGTCAAAGCCATGTTCAATGGAGGAAGTCGTAAAAGAGCACTGCCGTCATCGGTTCAGTGTGCTTCCATGGGTTCCATGAAGAGTCTCCAGGGTACTGTGGCACCTCATATGATAGGACCTGACCTGGGCGCACAGAAAAGAGCCCGCTTCGAGGACGAGGATGATCTAGATGGAGGCAGTCTCTCCCCACGCAAAACACCACGCAACTACCCTGTCATCCCTGTCCCAAGCAAAGGCTTCAGCATGCTGCAAAAGTTTCCCCCTACATCTCTCTTCCCATCTCCATACCCCTTCCCTGCATTTGGCCTCTGCCAGCAGAAAAAGGAGGACAGTGATGTTTCTGCTGTGCAGAAAGGACCGGGGCTGTCTGGCCTTTTATGGCCTGGCCGGAAGGACGCTTTTTATCCCCCTTTCTGCATGTTTTGGCCCCCAAGAGCAGCAGGAGGTATCCCTGTCCCCACCTACCTTCAGCCTCAGCCCAGCACCCTCTCCTCTCTGACAGAAAACCCATCTCTCAGGCAGGCATTTTTGGATTTGTCAGACCCTAGTGATGCTGGGGCTGTAAGCAGCAACGGAAATGGTGTCAGTTCAGCTATGGCCCCCAGCAATGGGACCACCACACCAAGATCTGGCCTGTTTGACACAGAATGCACAACTACGACCCCAGACCTTCGCCCTGTGACGTCAGAGGGATGGCTCAAACTTCTGGAAAACCCAGCCCTCCAAACAAGAAAGCCCAGCTATGGCTCTGCCTTCCGCCCAGTTGTTAAGGATGCTGAGAGCATTGCTAAACTCCACGGCAACAACGGAGGAGTCAACGGAGCCCCAGATGAGGACTTTGGAGTCGTGGTTCCCGGAACTGACAGACACCAGCAGCTGTCACCCACCAGCAGCTGTAGCTATGGGAGTGAAAGCGGAGGTGATGGGGAAGCAGAGGAAGCAGAAAGTGAAGAAGAGGGGGAAGTGGATGTAGAGTCTTCTAAGCAGGAGGATGAGGAGGAGGAAGGGGGATTTACGAGGAGGCCACCACAGACTCAGACCAACCTGTATGTCCCTGTTCTGAGTGACAGTGCTGGAGAGGAACGAGGGAAGGACAGAGGGAGTGGCGGAATGTATCCCGGCACCTCCCCGGGATCCTCCTCAAATCCCATCATACAGGAGTCCCCCAGCCTACCTGCCTCCCCTCACGCTAGCTTGCCTCTCTCCAGCTCCACCCCGCCCCACCGAGAGGACACAGCGTACAAAAACGTAAATATCCCCACAGGCCACTTTAGCTAATTATTATTTAAATGGTGCTGCAGTCGGGCAATGCTGTGATCTGCATAAGCAGATTGATAGCCTGGTTTCTCCCAGTAGAAATTGAAACAGCCACCCCACTCTGATCTCAGCTAATAGGCCCAGGCGTGGATTGTTTAATGGACACAGTGTGTTTGTTCTGCCCCCCGTAACCCCAACCTGTTAGGGCAGCTCTAATCTTTAACCTTCTGACTCCTACATTAAGCAGGCCTCTGACAGGAGAAAAGGGGGGGGGGGTTGTCAAGAACAGCATACACTCATTTTAAACCAGCTAGTTTATTTTTTTCTTAAATTTACATAGGCGAAATTCTTCTGTAAAAAGGGACACATAAATCAGGGCTATGTTAATGCTAGATTTGATTCAAAAGAAAACTGCCCTCAAAACAAGAGAAACCTTAACGGCTCAATTGGATAAAAACATTGCAAGCAGAAATAGTTATAGTAAAATATGTTTTATGTGTGGAGGTTTAGATCATGTATATAAAATGCTTGTTATATTTCCAGGCTCAGAAGAACCGGGATGAAGGACTGCCTGCATATGCAACCAAAGACAATTCAAGCAATTCTGGTGAGAAAAGACATTTTATGGTTTTTGTCTCTCATATTTTTTTCTTTTTGTGTAACTTCTGAGTGGAACTTCCAGGTCAGCAGTGCCTGGCACCAGCAAGAAAAAAGCTCCTAAAAAATATTAAATATAAATTAATAAAATAATCAACATGGATGTATTTACTGCCTCTAATATTCTATAAATTAAACACGTTAACAGGCATAACATTATGACCAGTATGGTTAATCTGACTGGTCTGCATCTACTCAGGCAAATAAACTCTTTTGTAACAGAAACAGCATTTACTTATTCAGCAGTTTAAACTAGATCAGTTGATCTGAGGGATGGGACCATGCAGCAAATCTTTGATCCACAAGTGCTTCATTGACCCGGTCACCAGTGCACCGCTGCCTTTTTTCCTGAATATAGAAAAAAAATCAAAAAATAACGATATACAATTTTAATTATTTATCTTTTCATATTGATTCTCAAAACTGTAAAATATTTTTTTTTCTACAAAAATATGATTTTCCTCTTACATAAACTCTCTAAATCAGTGTTTTGCCTTTCAGAACAGGGCCTATGCCCTTTATATGACCCACAATTTTATTAAATGAAAGGCTGTGCTATTTAAAAAAACAAATCTTCTTTTTGAACAGATATTGAATTCTATGTACTACTTTTTTTGTTGGTTTTTTTTATGTTTTTTTGTTTTGTTTTGTCTATTCAGTGGGTTTAATCTGTGAATGGGTCCCTTTGTCTCTCTTTCTAAGGTTTCAGTGGAAAACACTTAATTACATTAATTGGTCCAGATAACCGGCTCAAGCAATGGGTCTTATTGAATCTTCTTTTCTGTCTTTCTCTCTAAATTTCTTTTAGATGAAAACAAAGAGCAGAGAAGTTTCTTCGTACCTGAGAATGAAACCTCAGCACACGACTATTGGAGAGAGAGCTCAGGTATGAAACGTACAGCTGAACTGTTAAACGTTGTAGTTTCAGATGGAAAATGAAGGAATATATTTTTTAATGAGCTTTTTTTCAAAAAATTAACTGTTAGTTAAATTTATGTATTTTAGTTTTATTTGTATTTGGTTCTTATATTGAACTCTAAATCCTAAATCAACACTCAATTCAAGAGAAAAAGATCCTAAGGTATTTAATGAGGAAATAAAGGTATGCAAAACACTTGTAAAGCTTATTAAATTTCTTGTATAATAAATTCAGGACTGCACGTTTAAGCATTGCTGCTTTTTTCCTATTAAGTTACGAATGGCACTCAGGATGCTTAACACAGTGAGGGGAAAGCTCCTCTGTATTCAGATGTGGAGTTAAGGGATTTATATAAATACACACAGAAATGAGAAAGCAGCAGAGAGCTGCTTCTGTTGCCGCTCTGCCGCGGTGGCGCTCTGTCACCAGCAATGTTACTCTTAGGGGGGCTGTTACAGTTCAACAAGAAAACATCAGCTCAGAGATAAGCAGCGCGCTGGCAATCTCCATCCAAGGGCCATATCTTCGCCAGCATAATTGCCTTTTTTCCCCTTTCTCAGCGCAAAACATTCCTTCCCGTTTGAAAAAGATCGCAGCTTATTGCCTTTTTATATCTGTCAGGAAGACATTAAAAGTGCTTTATGACATCTGTGCCAACATTTATATCTACACCCCCCCCCCCCCCCCATTCGCTCAACCCATGCACATGCAGACACCGTAATGATCCCCACGCATAATGTATAATGTATTTCAAAAAATTACACGAAACAAATTAAATGAGACCACCTTTCCCCTGATTGCCAAATGTCTCCCTGGGCGGTGGGAAGCTCTACGTGATTAGAAGGCCTGATTCCTCCGAGTCCCACCATCACCCTCCCTCCTCCACTGTCTTTACACTCTCCCTCTGTTTCTAGGGAGAAAAAATAATCTAATTTTCCATTTATGTAATGCAAACCGCCTTGGCTTTGACTATTCACGGTTAATTGACTGTCAAACGAGGTTGTTATCCTCAGGCACTGTCTGCAAATTTGCTTGTCAAATGAGACAGAGAGAGGCGAGTAGAGGAGAGAAACGAGGAGGAGAGGAGGAGAGCTCTAAATGGGAGAAAGACGAAGAAGCATGGGGAGGCTGAAGGAGCCAGAACTTGAAATGACTGCAAGAGAATATACATGTTGAGGGTACTGGATTGCTTCATTTAAGCCAGAAAATGCCTCATTGTCACATATCCATGCTTGCATGACAGTGTAGACAAATTCAAACTGGTAGAAACCAGCATGTGATGGAGATGTCTGCTACAGAGCCAAAACAAAGTTCCAAACTAGATGAGATTCATTCTTTAGCAGTATTCAAACTACAGCTTATAGTTAATGTAATAAAAAGCGAAACAAAGTAACCTTTTAGGTGAACATCCAGCCAAATAAACAGAGTAAGGTTTTTACCACTTCTTTATCAAGATTCTATTTTAGACCCTGTATAAAATGTGTAACTTTGATGATACATGTTAAAATTTTGCTTGGAGATCAAATGTTTTGAAGATTAAATGGTTGTCTATAGTTATGTAAAATACAAAAAAGATATATAAAAGGTAATGGTGCAGCTTAATAAAAAAATATAATAAAAACAAAATGAACAAAAATATATATATATTTTTTAATTCTATCTATCAATATCGTTCTTATTACCTTTCCATATAAAAATTTTTTTCACTCTTTTTCCTTCTAAAGTGTAAAATATGTTGAAAGAGCCAGAAGCATCAGTTCAAGACTCCAGCTATCCTGGCATAAACCGATAACAGTTGTCAGCCCCTGTTGGGCTGATTTTAGCCCTATTTTCAGCACTCCTGTTTCATCTCTAATATATCTGATTAATTTACTCAAGTAAATAGAATTGGGTTTGACAGAATGAAAACGGCAAAGACACATTAGTTGCTTTTGGCAGCCACATTAAAGACATCCAAAAGTAGTTCATCTTTTCTTGCAGTTATCTCCTACTGAAACAGAAAGAAAAACTCCAACCTTTAGTTTAAGTACATCTAGTCACAAGGAGAAAAATTGACACCATTAATGATTCCTTACATAAATGTAAGTAAAGACTTTTTTTTTTATATACAAACACACAAAGTGAGTAGGATTGTAAGAGATCCCATGATTCACTACAACTAGTACTGGCACCCTGGGTGTGTTCAAGTCTTTATGCCTGTTAATACAGCAGAGAGACTGTAATGCCTTACTTTAAAACTCTTTAGAGTGATGACATACATCGTTGACTCTTTGACAAAGGACTGCAGATGTTTTTTTAGTGGAGAAAATATCAAAGATCCCCCGGCTTTGGATGCTCCAACACTGGGAAATCCTACATTAGATTTTTGAAGCTGGAGTAACAGTAATAGTACCATTAGAGATTTTATTCAAAAATACATTTCCCAATATGTTTATTTTCTCCACTTTACTCAAATTATATGTTGGAGTCTTCTAGTTCATTTAGGTTAAAATTATGCTTGTGCTAAATAGAATATTTAAATTTCAAGATATGTACTCACCTTTTCCCAATAACCAATAACTTTCAACTGGTCCATATTTTCTGGGACACATTTTCTTTATTTTAATCCTACACTGACACCCAGAGGAGAGAAGAAGAATTACAGCAAGTTAGAGTTCATGCAAAGGAGACAAGTAGGGCAACATTAAAAGAAGCCTTAGATGACATGTCTTCCATGTCTTACATCAAAAATAATTAAGAATAAGCAATCTAGATGTAGCTTTGAACGCCTAATAGTCATTTTACAAAGACCAGAGTCACAAATTGGAGAAATCTTCCATCATGTTTCATTTATAGCCTATATATGCTGAGCGTGTTTTTCTTACCTGTCAGTAAAAATATGTGTTGATTGTGAGAAAATTTGACAAAAACTTATAATTTGTAGAATAAATAAATAAATAAAATATGGGGTTATATAATGTGTTTATTAAATCAGTCTTTTTGTTTTTAGGGGATCAGAGCAGAGGAGCAGCCTCTCCCGTCACTCTGAAGAAGGATGTGGAGAACATGGAGAAAGGTACATTTTTTTTTAGTTTATAAATCTAAAGAACCCAATTTTAGCACACCCATGAAAATGAAAACACACCTTTCTTTCCTTTCTTTTCTTTTAAAGTTTCATGTCTTCGTATTTCTTTGTTTTTGTCTTTCTGTAGAAGAACTTCAGAAAGTTCTCCTAGAGCAGATCGACTTCAGGAGGAGACTGGAGCAAGAGTTTCATGCCCTTAAGGGAACTTCTCCTTTCCCAGTCTTTCGTAAGTTATTTTATTCAACTTATCAATATCTTTATCAGGGTTTCCCACTGTTATATAGCCGTCTATATCTAGCCTGCTCTGTTCAATCATTAATGCTTTACCCCTTTTTTCAGATAATTTTCAAGATCAGATGAAAAGAGAGCTCGCCTACAGAGAAGAAATGGTCCAGCAGTTACAGATGGTGAGGAAACTGATACATTACTAAATACTAAAAGGGAATAGGCTTTAACTTACTAATAAATTCCTTTGCTGAAAAGCTTGCACTATAAATACATTCAAAAGTGGTTTGCATGTGATTTTTTTTTCAAGTATTAATAATATTAACATTAATTTCTCAAAATGTTTCAGCAGAATCAATAGAAGGAAATTCATGGCTAAATCTAACCAGAAATCAAATTACCGCTTTCTAAGTTAGCACTCACATCAACACTAGTTTAGTTGTTTATTTGTCCACCAAAAGACAAAACCAATCACGCAGTTCGTCTTTCATGGGTGAGAAGTTCCTCTGCAGCCGTCTGATTGTTTCCGCTGACATCAATCACAGGAGCAGCTGGCAGATCAGCTGACAGATGCTGTTTGTCTTTGCTTTCTGACACACTCCGCCGCTGTGTTCGCTTATGAGCACGTGACGGCAGACTGCATGCATGGCCCTCACACACACATGCACACACACTTCTGAGCAAACTACATCTGTGTCCCCAAAAAAGCAGAAAACACAAAGGCAGACAACAGATTTTATGCTCATTTGCGAGCATTTGTGAGTGCGCTAAGGCGCGTATGCACGGTAACTGACAAATGTGTCTAGAAGCAGCAGATGAAGTCTGAGAGTAATGAGACATTAATTTCGCATAGATATTCAAATGAACTTTACAAATGTATTATTTATGTATGATGTATATAAATAAATAAAAAAAACTTCATGTTTTGCAATTAATTACTAATTAAAATTTTTTTATTGTCTTTAAAACTATGATATTGTGAAAATAAGGTAAAGCAGAGATTTTAAACATTGTTTCTATAACCAGTATTTATAGTAAAAAGATTTGATTAATTGGTTCTTTATTTGTCTTCCAGATTCCTTACGCAAATATCATCAGAAAGGAAAAGATCAGCTCTCATCTTAGCAAGTAGCTGAAAAGGTAACTTGATTCCAATTAACTTATGGATATTACTGATCAGGTCTCCTTCAATTTTCGGCTGTTAATCTTCTCATTAACAAGTATTTCCTCTGCACCTGCTAAACAAAATTAAAAATGAAAAAAAAAAAAAATGATAGTCACAGCCATGTTTATAGATCAAAACAGTTTCATTTTGGTTTAATTTACCTGCACACATCATCTTGTTAATGTTTGTTAATGATCTCTAACAAACCTCTGAGGCCTCACAGAGCAGCTATATCTATACTGCAGAGAAATTACAGAGTTTACTAATTGGTTTTTCTTTGTGGTGTTATTATAAGGGGTTAAATAAAAATAAACATTCTTTTTTTGAAATTATATCCCTAAAATGGTTTTTAAAACCCTATGCTTTTCTTTCCGCTCCAAAAGCTGGAACAGGAACAAAGAGCACAAACCATATACAGAGACATTAGTTCGCTTTAAAATGAAAAGCCAGGGAAGTCACATAAATTAAAATGATTTATCGGTCTTACTTCTATGAATGAATAAAATAAATCCCAACTCATACATTTTGGGTTTATAGTTTAAGGGGTAGGAATACCTTTGCAATACATAAAAGCTGTTATATTAGTTAAATAAATATTGGTGACCAAGTCATACTCAACATCAAAGCCTTTGATGTTTGGTATTGTTCACTATCAGAGCCTCCATCAGCATTCGAAAATGCCAAAGTCATGTTTAAAACTACTAAAATAATATTTATCTAAATTGTTAATTTCTTCGTTCACAGGAGTCGTTGCTTTCAGGACGAAGACCAAGCTGCTTGTGGAAGTCACATATTTCCTCTCACTAAGTAGCAAATAAAGTGTATATATCACATCTTTCTTGCATTTCCAAAGGACAGTAACGATTTAGCTCATTCTTTCAGTTGTTTAAAAGTCATTTGGGAGACTTCATGCTACTTTTGTACTACAGTGTTGGTAAAAGATTACCAACTCTCGCTTAAGTTTTGTTTCCAAAATGGACTCCACTTAAAGCGTCTGGAAAAACATGGGCTCATACTTGGCATTTTGTTATTGCAAGCAGGACCAAAGCAAACACCTGGACAGAGGCTGTAAAGATCAACAAGCTGTGGAAAAAATAAAAAAATGCTGAATGACTGTGACTCTCACTGCTGTTGGCCTAATGCCCAGGACTGCCGTGGCATCGGTATCCTCAGTCAGAGAGAGAAAATTTAGCAACACTTGATCCCAAACGGATTCTTCTCGGCATGTTGACCTACGACCCTTTTGTACCAATGATCGTTACCACCACTTATCAGCAAATTCATGTTACCCCAGAAGTTTGGACTGATGTCTGAGGAAGGTGGGGAACAAAATAAAGAATAAAAATGTCAAATTCTGAAATCACTTATAAGGTTTTACATGCTGAAAGAACATTGTACAGTATCGATTTGGTGTACAAAAAAAAAAACAGCTAAGTATTATATTCATCGCAGATGAAACTTCCTGTTTAAATACCCAGTGTATCACATCTGTCCTAACATTTTAGAAATTTTATTTTAAAGACATAATTTTCTTAAAATTATGTTTCATTAACTGTCATTGTGTTTCTGTATGAATTTACAGCAGCTATATTTTTGCTTGAAGACACAAATTCAGAATTTTACGCAATTGAAAAATTCCCTTTCACATTCACTTTAAGTTAAAGTATTATGAAATCATCAGTTTATAGATGTTTTACGGACAATTTAAGGCCTTCTCAAAGCTCCTACTTTGTGCATGGCCTCAAGAGAAGACCGCTGTTCATTATTGTTGTGTATCTTTTTGTACATTACCTCCCCTAACTGTATAAATTGTTCCACATAAGAGTATTGAACCATACAGTCTTTTTATGTGTTTGTTTATTTAAAATTTAAGTATACAATTCTGTTTATTATAAATTTTAGCAATGTAAGATAATCAATAGCAATGATGACAAGATGGTGCATTTAAATGTAAAAAAAAATAAAAATTACAAATTACATCTCCTTCACCTTGTTTATAAAATGAGTTGATGAATTTCACATCTACTGATATGTTATTATTATAACCTGTTAATGCAGATGTATTTCAAATGTTCTTGTAGTTTCTCTACTATGTGTAGATAAAAATGTCTATACGAAAAAAAAAATCTGTGTGGAAATTTTATTTTGTAAGACTAGCAATCTTTTTTTAGGACTTGGTCCCCAAACCTGACAAATGTACTTTTATTTAAGGTAGTAGTTTAGATCTGATGTTTGGAACTTGGACACAATGGCACATTTCAACCCAACAACAGTCAACTTGCTTTGAAATGGATGAAGGTGGATAAAGTTTGCTCTGACCTCAAAGCTGTTGAGAATATGTGGACAGTCCCAAATCATGTCCATCCAAAATTATCATACCACCTTGCTCACAAAAAAATGTATTATCTAAAACTTTCAAAGAGGCTCTGTAAAAATAGCCTATCTGAGTGAATTACCATCTTCCTACCCCATAATGATATTATATATATATATATAT